ACCTACATTTGTATAAATATATTTTGACGTTATTCATATGTAACTTCTATATTATTCATTTGGCTTCAATAAATTCAATGTTAATGGGAAAAACAGTTTCAAGAAATCATTATAAAAATAATAAGTGCATAGCGTATAATAAGTATAATATTATATATTGTATAGCATAAATGTCTTATACTCGAATAGTGGAACTTTAAATAATTTCTAAATTATAGAACAGGTGTTTATTTATTTGGCATAATTATTATTATATAATTATGTACAATCAACGGATGTTTTTAATTATTTCAAACTCCTATACATATACGGTGCGTTATAAAAGAAGTATAGGCCGGTAAGGTAAAATAATTATAACCCACAAGTTTTGTTTTTATTTTTGTTAACGAAATATTGTAAATATTTAACTCTTTTTTCCTTTGTATGTACTTTCTGGTGCATTTGAACTACGTGATTCAAATTAAGGCTTAATCATGGATCAATTGACGTTTTGTGAAATAACCAAATCTAATATTTGTGTTAGATTAGATACCGACATAATAAGCGTATAATATATCATCATTTATACCTATGTGGTATTATACGGTGTTTCATAAGAATAGTCAATATTTATAAAGAATTATAACTATAAATCGAAACATCATTTTATCATAATATTTGTATGTGTACCTTATTTATTCTTCCGAATATGAGAAGGATCACGTAAAACAGTAGATATTTCATCATCTACTAATATTATAATTGCTATACTGTTGACATTTGCCCATTAATTATTATAATTTATAACCATATTGACAACATTAAAAACGGTGTTATGTTAATGTTATATAAAATATAGCAGGAGACTTATGCACACCCGCTTAAACGTATAATTCTATGGGAACATCACAATAAATCAATATTAATAATTTAATAACGATAATTCTATTTCATTGTTTTGCATATGCAATGACAAATCGACAGAATTGAGAATAACATGCAACATTTTAACAACTGCGTTTTAATAACCATCCGGATATGTATGTGTTATATATTTAAATGCATTAGCATTTTATTGAACAGTGCATTTATGTACATGTCTGTGTCCCTACAAATAACCATCGGGTATAGGTATATAGCATACACGTATAATATTATATAAATGTAATGTTTTATTTAATATTTATATTAAATCATAATACAGTTTTAAATTAAAATTTGCTGTTGATATGATAAATATTTTCATTAATTGAAAAATCAAATGGTAATGGTAATATACAACAAAATTATTTTAACTCGAATGAAATAATAACAAAAAAAAAAAAAAAATCATTATTTTCATGATTTCAAGATATTTAAATATAGCAATTATGTCAAAATGCTCTGTATAGTGTTCCTTAAAAAATCATTAACATCAATAGTCAAACAAAATAAATGGTACTGTTTGTTTAGACCTGTATAGATAAATAATGATAATGAAATTGTAAATTATTTTTTAAGGTGTTAGTGAAAAAGTGTTGGTACTCAAGTTATCGAGTATCTAGATACCATATATGATATAATTTATTAAAAAATTGGCATAAAGGAAATAAATTCAGTAAGTATAGGTAAGTAGTAGATAAACTACCCACCTATCTAGTTTGCTAAATGAAAGACTCTTTTTTAATTACCTTCTTTAATGATTGTAAATTAGAAAGGTAGGTAAATTCTTACAATACATGCTCAGAAGTTTAATAACTATTGTTTATACCAACATGCATTTGTATTTGTATGGTATTGGACAGTAACTTACACTGTATACTGTCCAATCTGTCCATGAGTTTTCATTCACTCAATATACAAACGAATCTATAGTATAGATGTATGTTTTCTTGAAAATAAACAAAAATTATTTAGTACCTAGTTAACAATTATAGTTATATTCACATTTCACGCCAATCTCCGCTCGTGATGTTGCAGGCCACCAGCTGGTAAGTACTCGATTGAGTAGTCTAGCAATAACGAATACGTTGAAAGACCGTGATGTGTAAATAAATACTTTATTATTGTTAGCTACAGTTTAACATTTAAATATCTAATCGTATATAGTATTGAATGAAATGCAGATCCAACGATCAAATAAAATATTATTAACCTATAAATTCAAATAATAGTGTCATTCGAATATTTTAAGTGTAAAGTAATAAAATTATTCCTAGCAATTTTATGTAACATAATATATTCAGATGAAAATTACTAATTTTTAAGCGTCAAGTAACAAAATTAGTATCGTGACGACTGATATGAAAGTGTTCAGGCGTCAGATTTAGATATGTATACCGATAATAGTCTACTACGATAGCTTTACATGGGATCTTTCTATTATATAGGTGTGTGCTAGCAGAGCCTGTCGATAGAGTCATTTATGATCGTCTTGCTCGAGGATTATCTCAATATATTTTATTATACTTTGCCGGTCAATCATCATTAGTTGCCATTACATTATTGTCTATGTATTATCACTACACGTCTCATTTAGTTATTTAGATAAGATTATAATGCAATGATATTGTGGCTCTACAAGTGGAGTATGGTACATAATAATAATAAAATATTATTCCTATTATATTGCACTATTGCTACGTATTTATGATTATTTTTTCTATATGATGGTTAAAGTCTGTAATGGTACGCATTCAAGCGAACACGTGTGACAGCAAACGATAAGTCTCGATTACATTGTGTGAATACACCATTTACCAAATACGAACACATTTTTACACGAGAGGTAAAGGCTATTCAGCTATTGTATATATGTCATGAGTCATGAAAAACGAGCCGTATGAGACTTTTTCTTATGTATGTCGTATGATAACATTTTTGTTGCGAGTAAAAAAGCTTGAAAATCTTACAGCAATTAAAAAAATATCGAAAATAAATTGTCGTAATTTTTTTTTTTAAATAGTTATTTGATTTTTAGATGTTGACAAAATTCATTAAAATTGTGAATTATCTTATACATATAGACCGATAATCGTCTCAGCTCAGAATCGTTTTTCATCTTCTCCAAATTATTATTATAATCGATAATAAATTGATGAAAGCATTGATTATATTATAAATAAATTATAAAATATATCCTTCGAAATAAAAGTTGACTCATCGTTTCTACTATTAAAGTCATTTTTTGTATATGCAATGTTTGTATGACCCATTACAGTGACCTATACTGGCTATACTATAGCTATATACTCAATGACGAAGTACTCTCATCACCTGCTTCATACAACAGAGTGGCTTTTTCAATTATTTTTGTTATGAAATAATTAGTATCTACGTAGTTATAAAATCATTTTAATATGATGTTTTTTTTAACACTATTTTCAAAATATTTTTAGTTTTTTTATCAATGATTATTATGTATAGTTACTATGGTTAATTTAAAAAAATTGCCAATATGTATAAATCGCAGTCTTATTAAAAAAATATTTTTTAGATGTATTCAGAATACGTATTTAAATGCTTGGTATCATTTGTATTTGAAATAATATTTCGAATACTTTCGAAATGTATTATAATATAAATATAAAAACTTTACAAATACTTTTTTATACCTAGTTCAATAAATTTTATTTTGAAAGATAATAATAATATGTATGTTAATCACAAATAAATTCTTAAACTCATTTAAAAGTATTTACATTAAATACATATATAGTTATAATACTTTAATAGTTTCAAGAATTTCAGATTCGGGACCAATCCGGTTAACTTTTCTATTATCTACTTATTTGATGAAATCTTATGATAAATTCTAAGTCATAATGAAATATTATTTTAAAAACAAAATTTGAAATAGTAAAATATTAAAATTAAAATACTGGTCATTGCTGCCTGGAACAGTAATTATGAAATATCGAAAAGATGGTCACACTTTTTTTTTTTTTTATTGTTTAATAAAATAAGTTGAAATATTTTTATGAAATTCTTAAAACTATGAAAATATGTCACTTATTTTTGTAGTTAAAAACCCTTACGATTTTTAATTTTATCACCTAAGAATTTTTATTTAAAATTGAATTGGTTTTGAATTTTTTTAGTTTTCACCATTAATTACCTATAAAAAAATACATAAATTATTATTTATTTTCTATACGTACTTAATCAATGACATTTTCAACATTTTAAAGTTAATTTAAGCTATTTATTCAACGAATCTATTTTCAACGTTTTTCGAGTGCCTATACAGTATGCTCAATATTGACTTATAAATTAATAACATTAAGTGCTGTGTGCAATTTGTTTTCTATGCTGGTCGCTGGGATATTTATAGAAGAACATTCTGTATAACAGGACGGAGGTAACAAATTATAACATTTTAGTCAAAATGTTTACCTATCAGTTATACAATGTAATAACAAATATTCAATTTTGTTATTATGGATATAATTATAAATTTATTATATTATTTTATCAATTCTTTTACAAATGCATTGAACTTTCAAATTTTTACAAAGAAGTAAAATTTTTGTATTTTACACGATTTAAGATAGTAGGTAGGTACTATCATAAATCAAGATACTTTTTGACTTTTGGTGAGTGAGTAGAAGAACGCTTTGCTCCTTACATTAAATTAGCCCACTAATCACTAGTTCATCCATCATATCACAAGTAATGATTGTACAATAAATTTTGTAATTACTAATTATGATGTTCAACAATCCTTTTAAACCTACCTATCTTAAATTAAATTACCACCTGCATACTTACTTTGCGCTAAACAAAAATATCGAAATCTACCTAGGTACCTACCTAAGTAAATTTGGACTATTTGGAGATTGATAAAGTATAGGTAATTAATAATTATAATATTATGAAAATTGTGAATTATAGTAATCATAAGGATATTTTGATAATATTATCATTGAATGACTTTGATGATAAGAACATTCGCGCCAATTTGCTATCGACATTTAAGAATTTCATAGTACACTAAGACGCTCTGTTGTGTAACACACTAACACTATACGGTATGCAGTCGTTTCGTTGTTAAGTCATTAATTATTATTTATGTTTTAATTGATTAATTTTGAAGTTTTTACATTTAGAAAAAAAAAACATTACTGTATTATGTTCTAAAGTACCATGAAAAAATGATGGATGACAGTACTGAAGAAAACTTTTTAAATGATTTTTATGACGCAGATCTGATAAAAGTATTATAATAGTTATTTATCTAATTATTAATTGAAGTATTTAATTATAAATATTTAACTGATTTTAGAAATTGGACGACGTAAAACAAATCATCAATGATTCAAACTATGAAGGAAGTAAAGAATCCTCTGTACATAAATTATTGCAGGTACTATAATATCTGAATAATTTCTAAGAAAACAAATAAAAAATTTTAAATGCCTTTTAGGATTGCATTGAAATACTGAAAACTGAGAAAAATTCTATGGAATGTATTGAGAAAGGGTCTTGTATATCAAACAGTATAGTTAATAATCTCTTAGCATATGAAAAAAACATAATTGCTTTGTTTAAACATTGTTCAGAAAGCAATCTAATTTATGGCAATTTAATTATGAATGTAAAGCAATTACTCACTGAATTATTCAAAAAGGCGTCTGAAATACAGTTATTATTTTTTGGTATCTTAGAAAAAGTGAAATTTGATTTATCATTGAAAGAAGACTTAAACTTATTGCTTAAAGGTAAGATATTGGTTAATGTGATTATGTATATGATTTTTGGGTAAACTTAATTCTGTTATTGTGATTATTGACTAACACAGTTTAACATTGTGTCTTATATTATTTAAGAGGATTTTAGCGCAATATTTGTTTTCTGCCTAAGGCCCATACATAACATAAATAAAATACATTCACATAGGTACATTTATTTTTATTCTTATATAATTTTTTTTTTTTTTTTTTTAATTTTAATGTACCTATATCAAGTTGTTTTGAATAAAAATTAAATAAATTGATATGTTAAACCTTTAAAAATTAAAAAAAAAATGATATGATTTTTATGTGAATATATTTAGTCTATGTTATATATAATATATATTGACCAAAGATAAAAAACAAATAGTGTGTTGATATTTTCTTATAAAATAATTTTGCTACCTAGATGACAAACTAATAAATTAAGTTTGTTCTACAAAAATTAAAGCAAGAAGTATATTTCAATGGACCAATTCCCTGCAAATTCCTGTAATACAAATAGATTACCAATTTACTTATTTTTTCAGAACTTTTGTTACATTTCTAAAATATCTATTTTCCTAGTATTATTTTGATTTGTGACATATATCTTGTTTATAAAACACTATGGTTTTTAAATGGTAAATCTCAGATATTTGAAGTGAAAATATGCATTATCAAGAATTTGTTTGTTGTTTGTTATGAATTGGTCTTATATACTTTATGCCATACATTTTATTAAACAGACCTATTATTAAATTATTTTTTCTTGTAAATTACAAAATTATCTTTAAATAATAAGACGGTGATAATATGGAGTAGTCTCTTGAATTGAGTTTACCAAAATATTATATATTCAAGATAGTTACGATAACTAATAATCATCGATATATTTACTGTTTCATGTTAATAATATGATATTAAATTTTAAAAGATGAAAATAGGAATTTTAATGTTTGTGTGTCTATAGTATTACAGTATATTTGGTATGGTGCTGAAGCAGTATATAATGCAAGCAACAAAATTATGGCTTCTCATTGGAAAGCATATATTACCATGTTAAAAAAATATGCTGCAGAGTTAAAAGATTGTATCATAAATGATGAACCAATTGATTTTCTGTGTTCAGAAATTAAAAAAACAATTTTATCTCATAAATTTTATGACGAAGCATCATTAAAACTATTAACATATATGATGAGTGTTTTAGTTAAGCTTTGTTCATATGGCCGTGTATCAAAATCTCATAATATATTGTTAGAATTTATTTTATTCTTAAATAGGTATGAATATATAATAATATCTTTTTAATCAAATAAATTTATATTATTTTATGCTTAGTGATTTTTTATTTGTTATTCTAGCTATTGGTTATCTGATACACAAAATGCTGTCGCTGTCAAAGATAGATTGTCACAATTTGTTGATCAGTTAGTGTTGTTATCAGATGATATATTTGTGGAGGTAATTAAAATTAATTTTTATTTATTTATAAACAACAAAAAAATATATGTAATAAGCCTAAGTAAAAAAATTAATTTTAAACTTATTAATAAAGTGTTCAAATTTCTTATATTCTAGACATTTCAGTCAAGCTGTCAAGACATAATTAATAACAACTCTTCAAATCAAAAGATGTCTGCCATGTACATTGCAATGCTGCTAATAAAACGTTTAACAAAAGCTCCTTGTGATCAACAAGCTCGTCAGATTATATGTGTCGTTTTTAATTTGATTAAATCTACAGATTCTATAATGTGTTGTTACAACATAAATATATATGAAGATTTACTGATTAATGTAGCATCCATAATTCTAATATCAGATTACAGCTTGTTTGAAAATGTTGAAAACATTTTAATTCAAAATATTCTAAATACTAAGTATTGGCCAGCCTTGTTCAGTAGTGACTTGTGGATAATTATTATGAGGTTTAATTTAATTTCTTTTTTTTAAAACACTTTTACAAAACATCTATTTATTTATTTATTTTTTGTTTTATTTTTAGATATTTGTCGCCAGATTTATGTATCTTACAATTTTCAAAATTAGCTAAACTCTTTGAAGCATTGATTGTTTTTCCATGTTTTGCACAATGTCCTCAGCACATTTATCTTGAAATGTTGTTAAAAAGACATTTCTCTTTAATAACAAATAAAAGTCAATTAGTAAACTGTTGTCCTCAACTAAAATTACAAAGTCTGAAATCTGCTGTTGGAATACTGCATGTTTCAACACTTTCAAAATACAATCAATTATCAGAAATGGTATTAAAAACTTTTTTAGTTTTGCTGCTTCAATTAATTTTTTAAGTTGAAATTCTTTATTTCAATTATAGTTATTGTCTATGTATATTTTGTGTAATATGTTCGTATAACTAAATTTATTATATTATAATAATTGCATGTTATATTTTTTAGATAAAAATTATACGTATATTACCAGAACAAACAAACTATGAACACTTAAATGAAGAAATAGTATATTTATGGAATTGTATTAAAGATGAATACCCATCTGAATATTTATGTGCACTAGTAGAAGTCAGTATTGGCTCTGAAAAATTACTAAAAAGAATAATTCCAAAGGTAAAGCACTATTAAAGTAAATTGAGTTAAAAAAAATACTTTGAAATAAAAAAAAATATTAATGCTATATTAAAATAATATATTTGTTTGTTATTATTGTTAGACTATTAAAATATTAAGTAGTTGTGCTTATGATGATACTACAGAAATGAAGCGATGCAGACTACGCCTGATCCGATCAATATTATTACACATGCCACGGTTTCAAGAAAAACTGATAATGGATATTTTTCTTCAATATTTATTTGATCATCATCCATTAGTTCAACAATGGACTATTGAAACTATAGTGTATTTTTCTAGTATCACTGAAAATCAAAATCATTTAATTTCTATGCTTTTTAAACAACCTGAAGTTAGAACTATTATAAAAGATTATTTGGAGATGAAAATCAATCATAGTTATAATTATGATGATTTAATTCAGTATTTTGAACAATTATCCTTAAATGGAGAATTTCAACACATATGTACATTTGATGGTAAATTAGGCAAAGTATTGGATACATTAAAAATAAATATTGATTGTTTGAATGATATTGTAAGTAAAACTCAAATAACAGCAGATGAATTAGAAAGATTAAAAGAATATACATCTCTTTTAAATAATATTTGCGAGGCAATGAAATTTAATATTGAAGATTTTTAATGTTTCGAGTCAAATGTTAACTTAAATCAGTAAAAAAAATGATGTTTTAATTGTATATTGTAATGTTATTCAGTAATTATTATTTATAATACATTTTAAATTTTTTTATATAAAGAAAACTTGATGTAATCGGTATTAATTTTTTTAAATATAAAATATTAAGAATTTAATAAATTAAAAAATCTATAATTAAAGTGAGTCAATTCTTTTTTGAATGTAATGAAATTTATTTTATACTAATGTTAAATTGTCTTTATTTTAAATACCTGGATTTTTTCAAATTAATATAAATAATTTGTTCAAAAATGAATATTAATAAAATGTACATGTATGTATTTTTTTTTAATACATGTATCTGAACAAAAGTTGTGTAAAACAAAATGTAAATATGTTAATATTTCTAATTATTTTTTATATAATACCCGTTAAATAGTACTGTACAATCATTTCAAGAATTCATCTTGGCCTAATACTTATTAATGGATTAAATGTCTTGTGAAATAGATACCAAAATTATTTTTATTTTATTTATGAAATATTTATCATCTCTATAACTAAAACCAGGTTCACAACTATGTTGTCTGTCATGATGTGTTCAAAATTTGAGCTCTGTTCAATATATTTTACCTCAGTTAAGTTATAATTAATTATTTAAATGTATTTGTATTTAAAAATAATGCATTTCTATGCATGTTGATATAAAGAAACTTAATATGTAATTTGTTATTACTTATTAGTAAAACTTATCACCGAGCTTAGAATATACACATCATTATAATTATTATTAAGTGTACAACACTGAATACGCACTAGTAATTTACGATATATTAATGCAGTAATGCATATCATTAATCATCAAGCTATATTGCTACTTCAAGACACTGAGTCGGAGTTTCAAAACCGATACACTTACTGAATATTGACATAATGTGTGATAACTAACTAATAAATAATAATTAATGATCTTGTAATATGTATAAAAAAGAATTTTATTGTTAGATACTCAGATACTAATTATATTTAGCCGTGCACAGTATAATTTCTCAGCGCAATGGACTAAATTTATTTAATAACTAATAAGCATATCACGGAAAATGTACTAATTTCAAATACCAATATCCACATAAATCTCAACCACCGCCACCTCTAACTCTGTAACTCAGAACATTTTTTGGCTCTTCGCGTTTGACATGTTTCAGAACACCGATCTGCTTCCAAAATCCATTATAAGTTATAAGTTAAAAGTGTACCGAGGACCTGGCTTGCAGCTTTGGTATATGTGCACAATATAAGCGAATGGCCAATGGCCATTAACTTTCTGTGATAACAATTCTATTATATGTCTATCACCATTTTTTCGACAAATATTCTTATCAAGTCTTGTAGTTTGATAAGGTTTTATCATAATCGCATCAACAATATCACTAAATAACTTCAAAACATGATGAAAAAAAAAAAAACTAACAATTTCATAATTTATTTAGAACATAATGACAAAATTATTTTTTTACTTTATTGTGTATAAGATTTGATTATTTTTTTATTTTATTGACTTAAATTTTTATCGTGTAAATATTAGTGCAAGTTTATTATCATTGTCATAACTTTGTAAGCTAGCAATATATTCTGCTGTTAAATCGTCAAGCATAACATTTTTTTTTATTTTAAAATGCAAGAAGAAGAAAACTTATGGTGAGTGATCAATACCATTATGTAACATATTAAGTATATACTATAACTATACTAAATGTCAACAGTAAAACATAAATGCTTGATTATAAAAACGTCTGTTTGAGTTTGTAAATCATTTAAAATTTGAAACTTGAACAATATGATTCCGTAATTGTCTAATAAAATCTGGTTGATGTTTAACAACTGTTAAATATCCTCAGATGTGTGTAATATTTAATGTTTTGTTGCAGGAATTCCATGTTGATCTCATTAAAAGAAAAGGGCGGGACTCGATTACCGACTGACAAGTCTATGATTATAATAGGTAAACTATAGAAGAATCATATTTTTTTCGCTTTAAGTATTTTAACATTCATTTTTTTACAGGTGATAACCAATGTGGTAAAACCACTCTTGTTGCAAAGTTGCAGGGTATTGATGATCTAACAAAGGGAATTGGACTGGAATATGCGTATATTGATATTCGTGATGAATATAAAGAAGGTTAGTTATTTATTAGGTGATAATGTAACTAAATATTTAAAAATAAAATTTCTCATAAGATATTGGAAGTTTCATTACAAAATAATGCTATTTTCTAGATCATACAAAATTGAATGTATGGGTACAAGATGGAAATCCAAAGTACTCATTTCTATTAAAATTTGCTTTGTCAGAGAAGAACTTTAAGAACACATTGATAATGTTTGTGGTTTCTATGAAAACGCCTTGGAATATAATGGATCAACTAGAAAGTTGGGCAACATTACTGCAAGACTACATTGACAATCTACCAATCCCTAGTGAAGAACTTCGAGAATATAGACACAATTGTAAGTGTTGAATTGAATTTAGTTAAAAACTCATTTTTTAAAGAAACTTAATTTATGCTATAAAAATTGATGAATTTTATTTATTTACATTTTAGTATTCTAGAGAAAAATAATTACGGTTCTTGTAAATGGTATTATAATTACATGATATGTATCACTAGATATACTCGTATGATGTTGTTTATTTAATCTTTAATTTTTCTAAATTTTCATTTAATTATCATATATTTTTAACATATTTAGTCTTTATTTTAATAAAAACTTATATTTTATTGTTTTTATAAGTCAAAAAAGAAAAAAAAAATACTTAACATACTTAATAATATTTTAAATAATTATTAAGTTATAAAATATCCTAATAAATTTAATCATATGTTATATTACTTGACATCATTGTGTGGTACTTGTAGTATACTGTTCTGTATAAAATGTAGGTATTTTACTACATAGGTGGTTTATTTTATTTACTTTAAAATATTATGAATATACTAACTTAAAATTGTATTAGTTGATACAAAGCCCAAGGTTGTACACATATATTGTAAAGTAATTCTCCATTATTAAATAATATTACTGTGAACACAACATTTTATGATTTTTATACACATAATTGAATGACATGAGATTAAAATTACTGTTGTAAAAAAATTAATTGGTGTATTTATTTTATAAAACATTATTTTGTATCATACAAAAGCTATGTTTACTATATTTTACTATGATAATACATTAAATAACATTTTAGATTCAATTTTATGCAATTATTCTTTTTTTATTTAAACACTATTTTTTTTTATCTAATAAATATTTTTGTTTCTTATTTACAGGCATTAAGAAATGGAACGAATACATTGAAGAAAATGTTGGTGATAAAAATGGGTATTGGGAACCATCACTTGGAGATGGAGTACTTACAAGAAATTTAGGTTTAAATATAATTGTTGTTGTTACAATGGTATGTATATTTATTGGTATTATTAATAGTTCAAGTATTTTTATTAAAATAATGTTGTACTCCCAAATGTACTCTATTTTTGCGTAATATAGCAAAGTTTTTACACAGTTAATTCATTTTATAAATTATTTTATTATAAAATTTTAAAGGTATTAATATTATCCAAGGCTTTAAATGGTACAGATTTTAAAATACTTACTAAATCATAACTTACTTAAAAATAAAACTTACATGAGATCATGAATAATATTCTTAGCTTTAGATTTAATAATAGGTCAATTCATTCTAGTATAATAAATAACTAGGTGAAATGAATTCTTCTGTTAATTTTTTTTTTTAACTTGTTGTTATATAAGTAAGACAAAGTTAACATGTGTCAGGTATGACGTCTTCTTAAAATAATTATTTTATAATCAATATTAATAGATACATCCATTTTTATTTGTTATAGACTGATTACATAAGTGTTTTGGAAAAAGAAAATGATTATAAAGATGAACATTTTGATTTCATACAGCAAGCAGTGCGTAAATTTTGTTTACAGTATGGTGCTTCACTGTTTTATACATCAGCCAAAGAAGATAAAAACTGTGATTTATTATATAAATTTCTTACACATAAGATTTATAACTTTCCATTTAAAACACCAGCATTGATTGTCGAAAAAGATGCAGTTTTCATGTAGGTTTATTATTTAGATATTTGAATTTTGATCGTTTATTAAAATGCGAATTTAAAAATTTATGAATTTTAATATAAGATATTAGGTTTTTGCTATTTTTTAATAAACTTTTATGACACATATAGTGCTTGGTTTTTTTTCAGACCAGCAGGATGGGATAGTATGAAGAAAATTAGTATTCTCTATGATAACATGCAGACCATAAGACCTGACGAGTTTTATAACTCTGTTATAACAAAAGTTAATACAAGAAAGGTTTGTACTGTATAGCAATTTATATAACAATTTTATTTATTAACCATCTATTTTTCTTAGGCTTTTGCTAAAGAACATGAAATCCAAGCAGAAGATGAACAAGTATTTTTGAACAAACAATTAGGATTACTGAACCAAAGTGCAAGCCAACAGTCAGCCATTGGTATACCAAGGCAAGACTCTGTAATGAGATCACTGACAGGTGTTTCTAAGTCAGGTGATAGACGTCTATCATTAACCAGTCAAGGACAAGGTTCTCCAACAAAAAAGGTTAAATAGCTCCCTAAAACAATTTTAATAGTTTGATTTTACATCTGTTTACTATGTTATAGATTGATCCAGTAAAATCAGCTAATACATCAACCCCAGGTGAAGGAGTGTTGGCTAACTTTTTCAATTCCTTGTTGCATAAAAAATCCAGTCAAAGTCCTGTTCTAACCAAAACAACAAGTAATAACATATTTTTGTTGCTAAATATTTTTTCACATCATCATCATCATACTATAACAATCTAAACTATTTTAATTGTATATTATAGGTGAGTTATCTGGTTCAAAATCTCTATCTTTAGAGAAAACTGAATATCATACAGACACAGAAGCCGAACTAAACAGATTGACTAAA